TGGATCACCTGAGGTTAGGAGTTTGAGACCAGCCTGGTCAACACGTCTCTACTAAAAATACAAAAAAATTAGATAGGTGTGGTGGCAGGCACATATAATCCCAGCTACTCAGAAGGCTGAGGCAGGAGAATTACTTGAACCCAGAGGCGGAGGTTGCAGTGAGCTAAGATCACACCACCGCCCTCCAGCCTGGGCAACAAGAGTGAAACTCCATCTTAAAAAAAAAGAAAGAAAGAAAGAAATAGGGCAAAACAGAAAAAACAGAAACTTTCCCGTCACATTATATTGCAGTTCTGCAAGTGAACATACTTCAAAATGCTAAGAATTAATGCAGTATTATTTATAAATCTATCAAAGATTATGATGCATGTAATAAACATTCTGATAATGCATATGCACAAAACAAGTGCTTATTAACGAATATCCACTTTCAAAAATGACATATTAAAAAGATGAGTTATATAATCACTGTTTATATAATTATCATATTCAAACTCCCCTGAAATTAAAGACCTTAAGAACACCTCTTTTACTTCATTATTTAAAACAACTCACACAACTGAATCACATTTTATATTGTACCCCAAATAAAATTAACCCAATTTAGTCAAGGCAATACTATAGAAAATTAAATCAATAACTATCTTTTAGCATGTATATAGTGTTTATCCTGGTTTCCCCTAAGGCAATGGCCAAAAATATATATACATATCTCCTAAAAAAGAAATTTCTCGGCCGGGCATGGTGGCTCATGCTTGTCATTCCAGCACTTTGGGAGACCAAGGCAGGTGGATCACCTGAGGTCGAGAGTTCGAGACTAGCCTGACCAACATGGAGAAACCCCATCTCTACTAAAAAAAAAATACAAAATTAGCCAGGCGTGGTGGTGCACACCTGTAATCCCAGCTTTTCTGGAGGCTGAGGCAGGAGTATCACTTGAACCTGGGAGGCAGAGGTTGTGGTGAGCCAAGATAGCGCCATCACACTCTAGCCTGGGCAACAAAAGTGAAACTCCATCTCAAAAAAAAAAAAAAAAACAAGAAATTCCTCCTATATTTTCTTTATATTCCATAAATTACTTCCTAAAAAATCAAGAGCAAATATCCATTACTGAAGTCTATTTCTGATTATACTTCCTTATGTTATTCAATAGACAGATATGGAAATCTAATAGAATACTTTCCAGAATATTTACCCAGAATGTGCTTACTACACAACCATCACTATTAGTTAATCTGGAATTAGGTTTGTCAGTATATAATCCTGTTACTCTCCAATTCTCTCATGCTAGCAAAATATACAAGTCCATAAAATCATATTCTTGGAGAGCAGAGTTCTTGGAAAATTTGCAATACTAGCAGACTTCACTTTTAAAAGTGAGTAAAGCATATAAAAATGGCCCATAAGCACATGAAAAGATGCTCAACATCCCTAATCATTAGGGAAATACAAATCAAAATCACAATGAAATACCACTTCATGCTCATTACAATGACCATAATCAAAAAATTAAAAAGCAGAAAATGAATGATGGTGAGGATATGGAAAATTGGAACCCATATGCATTGCTACTGGGAATAAAAAATGGGACAGTTGCTGTGGCAATATGTATGGCAATTCCTGAAAAAAATCAACATATGATCCAGCAATTTCACTTCTGGATACACACCCAAAAGAAAAGCCAGAATTTAAACAGGTATCTGTACATCATGGTCATGGCAGCATTATTCACAATAGCCTAAAGGTGGAAGCAACCCAAGTGTCCATCAATGAATTCATGGATAAAAAATATATGGTATGTATATACAGTGATACTACGCAGACTTCAAAACAGAATGAAATTCTGACACATCCTACAACAGAGATGAGCACTGAAAACACTATACTAAGTGAAATAAGCCAGTCACAAAAAGACAAATATTGCATGGCATCACTTATAGGAGGTACCTAGAGTAGTCAAATTCATAGAGACAAAATACAGAATGGTGGTTACCAGGGCCTGAGGGAGGGAAACAGGGAGTTAGTGTTTAACAGATACAGAGCTTCAGCTGGGGTAGATGAGAAGGTTCTGGAGATGGACGGTAGTGACGGCTGCACAACAGTGTCAAGGTACTTAATGCCACTGAAGTGCACATTTAAATGTGGTTAAAATGGTAAATGTCATGTATATTTTTCAAAATAAGAAAAAAGACATTAAAGCATGTGTCCAAATTCTTTTTTTTTTTTTTCGAGACAAGAGTCTTGCTCTGTCACCAGGCTAGAGTGCAGTGGCATAATCTCGGCTCACTGGAACCTCTGCCTCCCGGGTTCAAGCAACTCTCCTGCCTCAGTCTCCCGAATAGCTGGAATTACAGGCATCCTCCACCACACCCAGCTCATTTTTGAATTTTTAGTAGAGATGGGGTTTCATCATGTTGGCCAGAATGGTCTCGATCACCTGACCTTGTGATCCGCCCACCTCGGCCTCCCAAAGTACTGGGATTACAGGCATGAGCCACCGCGCCCGGCCAGTGTCCAAATTCTTAAAGCATGTATCCAAATTCTTCTCATGCATGCTTACTTCACTACCCACAAAACCAATACCCTATGAGTGGTCAGGTCAGTTAAGTCTAAATTAGTGTAACAATAAAGTTTTTTAATTCCTTCTAATTCTAAAAAACTGTTTAACTGACTTCCTCAGAATGAAGTCCTTCATCAGATACAGGCACTAACAGCTATTACATATCTACTTCAGATTAAATAAATTACTAAAAATGCCCAGGCACGGTGGCTTACGCCTGTAATTCCAGCCCTGTGGGAGGCCGAGGCGGGTGGATCACATGGTCAGGAGTTCACGACTTGCCTGGCCAACATGGTGAAACCCTGTCTCTACTAAACACACACACACACAAAAATCAGCTGGGTGTGGTAGCACATGCCTGTAATCCCAGATACTCAGGAAGCTGAGGCAGAAAACTGCTTGAACCCGGAGGCAGGCACTGTAGTGAGCCAAGATTGTGCCACTGTGCTCCAGCCTGGGCGACAGAGTGAGACTCCAACTCGAAAGAATAAATAAATAAATAAATTACTAAAAATCAATGTCTCCCAACTTTGTATTTCAAACACAGTTTAATCTAGAGTGTTTCCTTCATCTTCTTTCCAAAGACTCATAATTACTATTTTCATTTTCACCAGCAAAATCTCTAGTCAAAATGTTCTCCCCCAAAGCTCACAGGAGCTCATCTTTACTGACTAGTAGATATATCATCTTTACCATAATTAGTTTCCACCAATTTGGTATAAACATTAGAATATTATTTATGAATCTCTCTCCCTTTATAAAAAGTGTTCATATGGAAAAAATATATAAGCTTGAAATCTCCTAAGCTAAATTTTGAGGCTCTTTTCCAGTTACATTCCAGTTTCTCTTATAATACCTTCTGATTTCACAAAATGTTACAGAAATAAGTCTGCAATAATGAATTAGCAAATCAGTTTGCCTGGTTTCCTCCAAGCCACTAAAGCTCACTGTTGTTCATATCCCCTTTCTCCCACTCTTCAGTATTCAGCACAGAAACATCCATCTTCAAAGGTTTTCACACTATAAAAGTTATGCTCTGACATTTTTCAAACAACACCTATTACATATCTTCTTCAGATTAATTACTAAAATTACTAAAAATGCCCAGGCAAGGTAGCTTACGCCTGTAATGTTCATAAACATGAAGCAAACATGAAAATTAAAAGGGAAAAAAAAGTAACCACATACCCAAACAAAAGTTGAAACACCAAATTTAGAAAAAACTCTTCATATTAAAAATGTGTTAGGCCAGGCACGGTGGCTCATGCCTACAATCCTGGCACTGGGAGGCCAAGGCAATTCGAGACCAGCCTGTGCAATATGGCCAAACCCCATCTCTACAAAAAGACAGAAAAATTAGCCAGGCATGGTGGCACTCCTGTAGTCCTAGCTACTCGGGAAGCTGATCCCAGCTACTGGGGAAAGGGAGGATCACTTGAGCCTAGGACGTTGAGGCCACAGTGAGCCTTGACCTGCACTTTCACTCTGTCCGCACTGAACTCTAGCTGGAATGACAGGATGAGACTGTGTCAAAAGAAAAACAAACAAAACAAAAAACTTGTTAACAAATTTCAGGCCAGGTGCAGTGGCTCACACCTGTAATCCCAGCACTTTGCAAGGTCAAGGTGGGATCACTTGAGGCCAGGAGTTCAAGACTAGCCTGGCCAACATGGTGAAACCCTGTCTCTACTAAAAATACAAAAATTAGCTGGGTATGGTGGTGGGCACTTGTACTTCCAGCTACTTGGGAGGCCAAGGCAGGACAATCACTTGAACCTAGGAGGTAGAGGCTGCATGAACTAAAATCATGTCACTGCACTCTAGCCTGCGCAATGAATGGAGACTGTGTCTCAAACAATAAAAATAAACAAATTAACAAATTCCAAAGAAAAGATCATACTAAACAAGTATGATCATCATATACTTTTTCTACTCATACTATGTGAAAACAAGAATGTATTTAAACAATTATAAATTGACAATTTTTTTCTTGATTTTTAAAATGAATTCTTCCAAATACCATTTTCTGTATGTAAATTAATGAATGGTACCATCTCCTCTACTAGGGTCTACTTCCTAAAACGCGTAATCTGTAGTTGTCATTGCATATAGTGTATCCACCTAAATGTTAATAGAAGAAAAATTGAAAAGCACAAACCCAGACATCTTAAAAGTTGCTCTAGTACTTAGTTTACCTACTCATCAATGTGAGATATTCTCCTGAGAACAAGTTTCTTTCCACTTGCCCAAAGAGAGACTAAATTGAGCCCTTTAAAAAGGAGAATGGGCATATCTGGTCACACATTAGTAACTTCAGTGTGTGTGAAGTATCCACCATCCTTCAATCTGCAACACATATAAAACTCTACAAAAAGGAAATTATATGTAGATATAGAAGGATTTATTGAAAAAGAATGCATCACCTGGTCATGAGCCTTACCTTTTAGCAGCGGCAGAGGTGTTAACTCAATAGGCTTGCCTTGAGACCTAAACTGTGAGGAACTTTGCGACCTCTTCTGTCTGGCTTTTCTGACGGACTTCCGAGAAAATCCGTCTACTTTATCCACTGATGGAGGAGTAGTTGGTGCTGAGGACATATCCCTACTGAAGAGAAAGAAGTATCATAAACCCATACATTCTCAAGGTAGAAGCATACATGTGAGTTACACAAATTCTAAAGTTCCCATACACAATATACATGAAAATGGGAATAAGTGCTAAAGAAAATAAAATCAATTAAGAAAAGTCTTATGTCAGCCAGGCACAGTGGCTCATGCTTGTAATCCCAGCACTTTGGGAGGCTGAGGTGGGTGGATCATTTGAGGTCAGGAGTTCAAGACCAATCTGGCCAACATGGTGAAACACCATCTCTACAAAAATACAAAAATAGCCCGGGCATGATGGCAGATGCCTATAATCACACCTACTCAGGAGGCTGAGGCAGAAGAATTGCTTGAACCCAGGAGGCGGAGGTTGCAGTTAGCTGAGATCCCACCATTGCACTCCAGCCTGGGCAACAAAGCAAGACTCCGTCTCAAAAAAAGAAAAGAAAAGAAAATTGGTGAAAATAATGTATGTATCATGGAAACAATATCAGAACTCTAATGTATTATGCCATTCCATATTAAGCATTAAAGACATTCATCTAGGCTTAAAGAACTCCATGCTGCCTGCCTATTTTCTAACTGCAAAGCTCTTCACATCTTCAAGTAATTTTTGGAGCTATTCTGCAGCTGGAAAACTTCCATCTATACATTTTCCCAAGATATTTAATATTATGAATGGGTTCTGGAGTTGAAAGCTTTAGTGTACTTCAAGAATCTATACCAATGTATCACAGCAAGGTGAAATTTACCACTACTGAAACTATCTAGGCATAACTTTTAATGGGCTGTGTTGTGTTAGCTATGATAAACTGCACCACACTGCAAATGAGGACAGGCTAGATTAAACAAAACACATAAAAGGCATAATTAAAGTATTTCAAAGAAGTCTTCTTTTTGAATGAAGCCACCTTATTTAAGCTTAATAAAACTATGAGGAAATCAAGCACAAAAGTTGAACTGAAAACATAAATTCACAGCCTACTGAAACAACCAGGTTGAGTTCCCTTGAGGTTTAGACCTTGAAGCTCATCAACAAATATCAATTTTCATTCCATTAAATTTACAGAACTGAACAGTACTTTTGCATTTTTTAACCCTCCCGAGTTACTAAAATGAAAGCTATTTCCTAAAAGTAACAAGTGTTAAAACAGTTAATTTCATTCACCAATTTAAACAGATGCCATCATTTCCATGGCACTGAGGCTCCATTCAAGATTAATGGCAGACTAGGATAGAAATAATGCATATGGGGGAAATGCTGAAATGCAATTACTCGCCTGTCATTGCAATACATAAGACAAGTGGTTTTTAACTTCTAAATAAAAGAGTAAGGGAATTTCTTCCTGAACACGTAGAATAAAAAGTTACTGGATTACGTGGATTTTGACAATTTAAAATAACAAAAACATTTAAACACACACACATATGATGTTGACGTTTGGAATTTTGAAGTCTTCTTTGGTTTCCTTAAATTAAAAAAGTTTTTTTTTTTAAAAAAGTACCTAATTTAGCCTTAACATAATGCGAGGTATTCAAAACAGAATTGCAAACTATGAATGACTACAGATGATGTTAAGATGACTTTAAAATATCAAAACGACTGCATCAGCCAAAAGCTCCACATCATATTTGTACGTTGCAAATTTAGGAGCCGATTTTCCAATCTGGTATGTGAATTATTTAGACTTCATTCTAACTCTTAACACTACAAAATTTCAGTAAATCCTCTTCCTCCATCACTCTGTCTTTTCTTTATTCCTCCTCTCTCATCTCTCATCCCTACGACGATATATAGGTAGCTTTTTAAAAAATCATTTACCCCTTATGCCCAAGGCGCAGAATAAACGTCAAGGATCGCAACCCTGAAGCATTGCAAAACTAAACGTAAGGTAACAGCGGGTCCATGCAAAGCCCGGGGAAACAGGTTTCGCCCTGGGCCGGGGCGCCAGAAGCTTTATCATCCTCTAATCAGCGGGCACGGGGCATTTCCCTGGCTCAGGATAATCTAAAGCGGGTAAGGGGCAGTATGGAAAGAAAGACAGGGAAGGGGTTTGTCTGTGGGGATGCTTACATACTCCCTTTGCTCCTAACCCACACCCCAAGCCTTGGGGAAGATAAGCTGCTAGAGAATCCTCCTCACACCAAACCCCCCTTTATTCCCCGCCCCCACCAGTGGATAAAGGGGAGCAAGAAAACGCCTCCAATCCCAGAAGGTGGAGAAAAAGGGGGGAGGGGGCAGAGTGAATGAGAGATATCATCAGAAGCATTTGCAGGTAAATCAGACAAGTGGGACGAGCGCCCCCGCTCCTGCACCCGCACCCCACCCCACCGCACCCCTCGCCTGCCCGGCCAGGCCTTCCCACGGCCGGTGTCCCATGGGTTCCCCAGGAAGACCGGGAGGAACCAGGGAAGCGGTCGAGCCGCGGTGCTGGAGGGACGAAGTTACCTTGAAGCTTCTGAGGAAGAATCCGAAGATGATCTGTGGCTTGGAGGGGCCGGAGACGGGCAAGGGGGCCGCAGCGGGGGCGGGCGGCGGGACCGGGACGTGCAGGGGGAGGTCCGGGGAGCTGCGGGGAGCCCGGGGCGACGGCTGTCCGGTACGGCGTCCCTCCGGTTCCGCGGCGGCGGAGCCTCTAGGCCTCACGGCCGGACCCGAACCTCAGCGCTCCAGCGGCGGCGGCGGCCTCACGATCCTCCCCCGCGGGCCCGTCCCATCAAATCGGCACCGACCCCGTTGCGGCTCCGCCGGTGGCTCCTCGCTCACATTCCTGGCGGGCGGCGCCTCAGCTCGTTGCCCGGGACCCGGCGGCGGCGGCGGCGGCGGCGGCGGCGACGTGGGGAGGGGGGGAAGGGAGGGAGGAAGACTGGATTTGCAGCGGCAGCAAGAGAAGGGGGCCAGAGAAGAAGGAGGAGCCGCAGGAGCTGGAGCCGCCGCTGCCAGAGCCACAGTTCGCTACCCGCGATGGGTCCCAGTCAATGCCCCTTTCTCTCTCCTATTGTCAATATCACCGGGCGGCTGAGTCCATGGCACACGCGCAACCAAACCTTCTGGCAAGCAGTGCCCGCCTCCGGCGCCAGCCCACTGGAGACTTCAAACGGGAAGCGAGGCCTCATTGGCCCTCGTCCGCCTTCACTCCCCTGCCAACAAGTTCGGTTGAGACCTGATCAGGGATTGGAGGCAGGAGGGCGGAGAAACAGGAGGGTGGGAAGAGGATTGGGCCGAAGCGTGAAGGACCCGGATGCAGCCGCGACCTCGGGTGGTGCAGCCGCCGCTTCCGCCCGGCGGTGGGGCAGGCTAAAGTGGGAAGCCGCTGGACTTGAGAGGAGCTCTTTAATTCTGGGAGGTGTGCGACTAGCAGATGAGCGGGCTGGCTTTCCGTGGTGTGCGGAGCCTTTGGACGGCGGTCGTCTTCGACCAGAGGATTCCGAGGGCAAGGGTCGGCCAAGAGTCGGGGAGCCCTCGAGTCTTGATCCCGCCCTGCAGCTAGTGTGGCCTTTCTGGCCTTGGGGAGTCCCACTCAGGACGGGAACCGCTGATGCGTAGACAGGAATAAGATTCCCCCGCCCGCGCCTGTGCGCCACTGCTTGTGTAAATGGGTCCCCTTGAAACTCCCAGCAGTCGCTCTTCGCTGAACCTGGTGGGAGGCCTGGCCCAGGGTTTAGTAACGCTTCGAATTCTCCCTCGTCTTCTTTTCTCTAAACGTCTGTTTTGAATATCAGACCCCTGGAGCCTCCACGCCTCGGTTGAGGCCAGCGCACACTTAGTTAATGCAGGTGGGAACGCTGTCGCCACGGTTTTCAGTCTGTTCAGAATAACCCACCGGCCAGCCGGCTGTTCAGAGCTCGGAAAGACCCAGCTCCAAACTTGAGGAGTTTCGAGATTTTAATTGGCAAGTTGGACCCGAAAGAGTTAATGGAGAAGCCTACTTAACTCTATCTAGAATAAGTAATGAGATCTTTGGAGATGTGTTTGCATCGTTGGTTAATGCAAACGGCCAAATGAAACATTTCAGATTATATTCTTGGATTTATGTGTTAGAATGCACCCTACATACATTGTTTGAGGAGAAAAAGGAAAGAAATTATTAATGCTAACTACAAACATCAGAGTACCAGTTGTTCAAAACTTAGGAAATAGTGCGGGGGGGGGCAAAAAAATTAACATATTTTCTCAGAGATAGCCACTTACAGCTTTTGCATACTTCCTTTCAGAATTTTTTCTTTTTGGGCCGGGCGCGGTGGCTCAAGCCTGTAATCCCAGTACTTTGGGAGGCCGAGGCGGGTGGATCACCAGGTCAAGAGATCGAGACCATCCTGGTCAACATGGTGAAACCCCGTCTCTACTAAAAATACAAAAAATTAGCTGGGCATGGTGGTGCGTGCCTGTAATCCCAGCTACTCAGGAGGCTGAGGCAGGAGAATTGCCTGAACCCAGGAGGCGGAGGTTGCGGTGAGCCGAGATCGCGCCATTGCACTCCAGCCTGGGTAACAAGAGCGAGACTCCGTCTCAAAAAAAAAAAAAAAAAAAAAAACAGAATTTTTTCTTTTTATATTAATAATATGTGTCAATCTGTAGCCTAGTTTTTGCCCTCAGCATTATATCATCTTTTCTATACGGTTAGGGAATAGAACTATATATAAATAAAACTATATGTACCATATGTACAAGTGACAACAAAAATGGATTTGCAATTCTCCTGTTTCTGTTGTTAAACACTAGAGTTTTGAAATTTTCTTTGCACACTCCCAGAAATGGCTCTTGAGTGGAAAAATAATTTTGTGCCATGAAAGATAAAAATATTCCTGCTTTGAACTGAAATGGAAAACGAAAAGATGACTCTCAGATGGAAGCAGGCTCCCCCTACTGACTCCAGATGATTGGCAACTGTATGGCTAGTGCCCACTTTCGCGGTGATAAAGTTCATTACCACTAAGTATGAACTATAGAATACCAGCAGTCTAGTTCCTACCCTCGAGAACCTTAAATTTCCATATCTCAATATCGTGTACAATCTTCATGAAAGTTCAGTGTCCCAGCCAAGGACCTGTTTCTTAAATCTTTGATTGAGGGTAAATGCAGAATTAAAACCAAGGAAGATTTTGAAGCCAATTCAATTTCTCTTGGCAACAGTTGAACTGTTAAAAGCATAGTGCACGTTTGAAATTCTCACAGCTGTTGCTTAGAACATGTCATAGAGTGGGGATTTTGCTTGCAAATTATGGATCTCTATAAAGACAATTCATTTCAAAGTCATTTCACTTTCTATAAAATGGCTGAGCAACTGAAATGAGCAGGTTTTTTAAAATGGAAACATCCTTGCCTAGTGAGAAACTGTTCTCTGGACTAGTAATTTCTCCCATGTATCCCAGAGGTTTGTGGACTCCAGAAATAGTGCAAGGTAATCTATTTGGGATGCAGGAAAAAAAATTAGGAAATATATTTCAGTTTAATTTTAATCTAAAAAGAAAGGCATTAAGGTCAACTAGTTTTTGGGGATTTTTTGTTTGTTTTGTTTTGTTTTTTGAAATGGAGTCTCACTCTGTTGCCCAGGCTGGAGTACAGTGGCACGATCTTGGCTCACTGCAACCTCCGCCTCCCAGGTTCAAGCAGTTCCCTGCCTCAGCCTCCCAAGTAGCTGAGATTACAGGCACCTGCCACCACGCCCAGCTAATTTTTTTGTATTTTTAGTGGAGACAGGGTTTCACCACCTTGGCTAGGTTGATGTTGAACTCCAGAACTCATGATCCACCTTCCTCGGCCTCCCAGAGTGCTGAGGTTACAGGCATGAGCCACTGTGCCCAGCCAGTATTTTTTTATACAAAGTGAATGGCTCCACCTCAGTCCATGGAATGATGCCTTGGCCTAGAGCAGCATAGGAGATGTCCTCAGAGAAAAGTGGGAGTTATCCATTCCTAAGAGTTAGCCGTTGTGGTCCCACCCAATCAACCCCTGACAACTTATGACTTACTGCAATTACTTACTCCAGTTTCTGGATTCAACTAAGTGGACTTACTGATATTATCTAACTAACCCCCATAAAACAAATGATTCTAAGAGTCCCTTGCAAAGAAATCACAGGAGAACAAGAAGGAAATCATGAAACTAACTCTTCTATCAAATCTTTGACAGCCACTTTTCGAATGTAAAATACCAATCTAATATATTCAACCTAATTTTGACAAGAAAAAAAAAAAGGCTACTTGAAATGTAAATTTATATCCACTGTTATTAAGAATTGAACTTCACTCTAAATGTGTATTTTGATTGAGTTAAGCTAATGATGGTAGCATATGTCTATACTTTATGGACAAATATACATATATTTGGAAGAATATTTTTTTGGCTGGGTATAACAGCTAATGCCTGTAATCCTAGTACTTTGAGAGGCTGAGGTGGGTGGATCATTTGAGCCCAGGTATTTGAGACCAGCCTGAGCAACACGGCAAAACCCCTTACCTACACAAACATTTCAAAATTAGCTGAGCCTGGTGGCACACTCCTGTTATCCCAGCTACTGGGAGGCTGAGGTGGGAGGATCACCTGAGCCCAGCTGGTCGATCCTGCAGTGGGCCATGATCATGCCACTGCATTCCAGCCTGGGAGACAAAGTGAAAACCTGTCTCAAAAAAAAAAAGTTTGGAAACCAGGTGCAATGGCATATGCCCATGGTCCTGACTACTCCAGAGGCTGAGGTAGGAGGATCACTTGAGCCCAGGAGTTTGGATTCTGTAGTGTGACATGATGGCACCTGTGAAGAAAAACATTATAGGCCAGGTGCAGTGCCTCAAGCCTGTAATCCCAGCACTTTGGGAGGCAAGGTGGGTGGATTACAAGGTCAGGAGTTTGAGACCAGTCTGGCCAACATGGTGAACCCTCATATCTACTAAAAATACAAAACTTAGCTGGGTGTGGTGGTGGGCACCTGTAATCCCAGCTACCAGGGAGGTTGAGGCAGGAGAATTGCTTGAACCCAGGAGGCGGAGGTTGCAGTGAGTGAAGATTGAGCCACTGCACTCCAGCCTGGGTGACAAAGCAAGACTCCATCTCGAAAAAAAAAAAAATTATAGCCATCTGAGAGGCCATTATCAAATGACAAAATATAGTTTATTGCTCTCAGATGAAAGCATTCACTTCCCAGATATCAAAGCAGAGCTTATGAATCTACTAGCGAGCCAGCCATGGATGAGACAAAGACACTATCCAATGATGGCTGGCTGGTGAACTAAAGGAGGACTGAGATAGTAAGTAGGAGCATTGTCAGAACAATTGTCAACCAGTGGAGGAGGAAAAGACCTACGCTGATTAGGTATCATCATCAGAGGTAGACTAGTCCAGTTTGGGGTGTGTGGAGTAGGGGATACATGAAGCTGGTCATGGACTGAGAGGAAAGAATAGTGAGGGTGAGAAAGCCTGATGCAATAGTTGCCTCTTAGGAAAACAATAAAAAGAGTATACAGGCCAGGGCAGAGGTTCACGCCTGTAATCCCAACACTTTGAGAGGTGAAGCAGACAGATCACTTGAGGACAGGAGTTCAAGTCCAGCCTGGCCAACATGGTAAAACCCCATCTCTACTAAATATAAAAAAAATTAGCTGGGCACAGTGGCTTACGCCTGTAGTCCCAGCTACTCAGGAGGCTGAGACACAAGAATCACTTGAACCTGGGAGGTGGAGGCTGCAGTGAGCCGAAATCATGCCACTGTACTCCATCCTGGGTGACAGAGACTCCCTTTCAAAGAAAAATGTATACACATAGCGACTGTAGACAAGGGAGTTTGGTATCATATTTCCTTTGAGTTACATTTATCTACCAAAAAACATCCTCAACAGTGACATATTCTTGGGTCACAGTTTAAATACTCTAGTTACATTTTCAGATTTGCGTCAAAGGTTGTGGCTTATTCATAGCTTTGCATGTGATTAATGTATATAATTATTGCTTGAGATTTTAAAGTGTTTAGGTGTTCCAGTTCCCTACATAGCAGTTTAACCTGCATTCCAGAAATGACTATCAGAGGACC